AAGAGAGAAAAAACGCAGGTAGATAATAATCCATATAGCACAATGGTTTTTTCAAAAAAATTTGTTAAGCAAAAATTTGCAAGAGTAGCGAACATCTGACTTCCACAATATCGAATAATATAATGTCGAAAAGAAAAACACTAATCGAGAATGGAAAACGGATTTCTTTTTTTTGAATAAAATGCGTTTGGGAGATTTCCTGTTTGATTGTTATTTTATTGTCGATATGTTGATGATATTATATTGGCTGCTCCGTCTGAGAGTGTTGATGATATCTTGGGTATTTTTAATTCGTTACATATTAGACTGCAGTTGACTATGGAAGTTGACACAGATAGTAAAATAAGTTTTTTTAGATGATTGATGAACGGAGGCTTATTTTTTATATATATCGGAAAGCGACCTTTTCAGGTAAATTCCTTAATTTCCATTCACACCGCTTTGTCACAAAAGAGGTGTAATTTATGGAGTTGTGGATAAGATTTTTCGGTTGTGTCATCCGAAGTTTCCAACATAATCTAATTGACCCTATTAATATTTTTTTAAAAGAATAGATATCCTCTACATTTTATTTTCTCGACTATTCATAATAGAATTAAATTTCATATTAATAACATTAATAGTTTTAAGAATAATAAGGATAACACAGAAAAGTTTTTTACTATTCCATACAATATCTGAAAGATTCACACCTATCGTTAACATGTTTAATTGTAAATTGGCCTTTACCATCCCTAATACATTAAAAAATTGTATAAAGAGAGAAAAGGATAGGCTGGAACATGTACATAATCAAAATGTGATTTACAGAATATCCTGTAAGAGTTGTGATGTTAATTACGTGGATCAGACTAAAAGACAGTTAAAGACTAGACTGTATGAACATGTTTCAGATATTAATATAAGTTCAAAATCTCCATCGGTTATCTCTAACCACCGTATGTAGGAAAATCACAATTTTAAATGGGATAAAGTGGATATATTAGATATAGAACCTTCGTATAATAAAAGATTAATATCTGAAATGATGTACTAGTACATTAAAAAACAGAAACATAGAATAACAAATAAAATGACATGGAGTCTTTGCCCAAAGCGTATATATATATATATATTCTGGCATTATACATTCTTTTTCTCTTTCCTAAAATGTTCTTTTCTTTTCCCCCTCCTTTTCCTTTTCTCCTTCCTAATATCTTCTTTTCTTTTCCCCCCTCTTCCTTTTTTGCCGTTTTCCGTTCTCGATTAGCATTTTCTTTTTCGACATTGCGTTATTCGATATTGTGGAAGTCAGTTGTTCGCTACTCTTGCAAATTTGCTTAAACAAATTTTTTTGAAAAAAATCTGTGCGATATGGATTACCATCTGCCTGCGTTTTTTCTCTCTTTTTTATTAATGGACTCTCAACACTTTCATCGATATTGACAAGGTACATAATTATATTATATATATATATTATTAATTCGCTTGTATCAAGTATTAATGTTTTGTTCACGGTCACGTTTCTAGAATGTTTTTCTGACTACTTTGAATTCTGATATAACTGACTCGCAAGGCATTACACGATATAAAGAATGTAATAGATATTTTTATAGCAATGTTTTAATATTATCGCAACATTAAAAATGACTCGAGCGGATTCGGAACATTTGTTTTGTCGTTTTGTAATTTATGATTGAATTTTAATTAGTTTGTTACATTACTGGCTCTTTGTCCTTCTTTTACATATATTGTTTTATACTTACAGAGCCTTCTTATTATTATTTATTAATTTAAAAATAAGTACGGAATAAGCACGGAATGCAAGAGATCCGGGTTCGACTCCCGGCCGAGGCAATATTTTTTCGCAATAAAATTATTACAGTTTTAAGATTGGGAAGAAATTGGGGGGATTTATTAGTTTCAGATTTATTGTGTGAATCCGATAATTTCATCGGCTCTCAATTTATGTCTGAAAAATTAATTATATACTTTCAATTTTATTGAATGTATATTAAGTCAGTAGTTCAACATCTTACTGTGACCGATACGGCGCTGATTTTTTAGTTTAAAAATAAGTGTTTAAAAAGGCTATAAACCAAAAAACAATGTGTAAATAAAGGAAACAAGTATAATTATTATAATCTAAAGCAAATAACAAATGACAGATATCGTTTCAAGCCCGATCAGGTCATTCTCAACATTACATATAAACATAATTAAATAGAACAGATCAATTAAATTGATATATTTAAATTAAATGGATCTAATAAAATAATACAAAAAACAAATAGCCATCTGTAAAATCCTTATTGGTGTCAAAATGCGCAAAGTAATCACAAGCATCGTAAATTCAAAAATTCACATTAAAATCTATAAAAATAGTGAGAACAAATTACATCAACACAATATCTAAAGCAATAAGTATAATGATATTAAATATAAAGCAATGAAAGTCCGTCTATAGATTAATATATATAATTGGATCTTATAGTAAAACTTACCTTAAAATTACAGTGTCCACTGATAAAACACTTCTATATCTGTATTAATGCAAAAATTCTTTTACCAAGAATATTTATTTCGATATTGGCAAAAGAATATAAAATTTGGAAGCAGTATTGCGAAAAAATATCTTTGTCATCTGACTATGATACACAGAGTGAAGGAAACTTGAAAAAGTGGAGTTTTGGAAATAGTTTGGAAAGGGAAATAAGAGGAAAAGGAGGAAATAACTAAGACAAGAAAAAGATTGTATAATAGGAAGATAAGATATATGTATTATACTTATGTATTACTTTTTCAGAAATTATTTGGAATGTAAATCACTTTTTTAATGCACTAACTTCAATAAGTTTCAATAAATGTTGCAAACATATTATCTTCTGATAAAAAAAGAATTAACTTAAAATCAATTTTATCACAACACTTAAACAAAGAAATAAACCTCATCGCAACATTTAAACAAAACCATTTCTTTTTTATCACTTCTGAAATATACAGCTTTTGGATTTTTATTTATAAAATATAACATTTTTTTCATCCTCTCCAATGTCTATGAAAACAATGCCGATGGTATTCTATTTATATCTCTTTAAAGTAGCATATAGAGAAATATTATGAAATTGTAAATACTTATATATAGCTTTTCTTTCTTCCATCTTACCCTCCTATTTTTCTCTCTTTTTTCTATCTTATTATCTTCACTCATCTAATTTCCTTTATATTTACCCGCGTATACTATTAAGTGTACTAAGGCTCCTATTTTTCTTCTGTAAAAAGAAAGAAAAGAAACGCTGTGATTAAGAGCTACCTCCATCTTCCTACCTCCTGCAAATTAACGCGCAAGCATTACTCTCGTACGAAGAGATGGCGAAAGGATTGCTAATTTCTCTAATTTAATCGCCCACCCCCAGCCAGTCACGCATTATCAAGAGTCGGATGCAAATTAAAAATTCAAAGCTTTGTACACTTTACCATATCACGTTACCATAAAGCTCAAAAAAAAAAGAGCGAAGAGAGAAAGAGAGTGAAAGAGAGAAGAGAGGAAGAAAAAGATAGAAATCATTCGGGTAAGGAAAGAAAGCATGGTAAACGGCGCGTACAGGGCGCCAGACTTTAAACGCTAATTGGCATTGAGGAAAGGTGGTGACGATAGCTAAATACGCGCGAGAACGCACGGAGGTTGTTTGTAGGCGTGCTCCTTTACGCAGCGATATACGTGAACGCACGCGACGCAACGCGACGCAATGTGACGCGACAAACTTTTCAGACGCAACGCGCGCGCTGCAGAAATATCGTTGCAAAGATAAAGGAATGAGTAATTAATTATAACGGAGGGAAGAGATGGCGTCAGGGGCCACGCTAAATTATACCATTATTATTAGGCATAATAATCTTTTCAAGTGACGTCATAACGCGACGACGGATGTTTACTGCTCACCAGGATTAGAACACGTTGGAAGTTAATCGTACTGAAGGTTAAAAAGACCGTATTTAATTTCATCCCACACTTTAACATCCCACATTAAATACAATCCTGCAACATCAAAGCACACAGCGAAAAGACAAATTCATCACTTCGATAGAAGCACTGCATTGCTTTTCTCTTCACATTTTTTCTGCTAGGCAGCGCGCGCGAGAAAAAGACTTCTCTCCAATTCTCCATGAGGTTGTTGCAGTGTCATAAAGTTGAAACATTAATGTTTAAATTTTACTTATAAAATTTGTTGACAGATTTTGCAAATAGAAGACAGACAAAGAAATAAGTATTTTAAACTTCAGTTAATTAATGACTGTATGTATATCATCGGTAGTTATCATTTATTATAACATATCTGACTAAAAGAGAACTGAGTAAATGAGCAATTAAACACTAGTAATTACTTTATAAAAGTTAATGCGTTTCGCGGGTTCCCTCCGTGTCCATCCATCCTTGAAATGCCAACGTTTCGTGAACTTTGCAATCCATTTCATCAGGGCGAAGAGCAGCCTGATACTGAGCTGTTCCTCTGAGCCGTTCCTTTTTATACGCTACTTGTTGAAGTGATGGGAGAAAGAAAAGAATTGTGGGTAAAGGGAGGGAGAGGAGAGGGGAAATTGGTCAGTCTTCAATAACCGAAAGAATGGTTTTCCATATTTTATCTATATTGTTGCCATTATCTCTATTTAGATTGTTAGGATGTTTCTGTATCTCTATGGCTTCTCTATACTTTCTTGGAAAGTATGAAGTAATGTTGGCTATTGTGGTCGTTTTATCAATCAGTATTTGATGTCCCGTTTCGATGTTCTGATAATGCTGACTGCATGGCGTATTTTAGCCTGACATCACGTTCACATGGTGTTCTTTTATCCGTAGGTTGACTATTCTCCCGGTTTCTCCAATGTATACTTCCCCGCAGGAACAAAGTATTTTGTATACTTTCCTGCGGAGCTGAGTGGAGGTCTTTGAGTTTTAGAATTTTTTAAGATTTGTCCTATCTTTTTGGGTGGTTTAAAGATAGTTTGGATATTGTGTTTGTTTAATATCCTGCCAATCCGATCTGTTGTTCCTTTGAGATATGGGAGAATGGATAGAATGTTTTCGTCTGGTTGTGCGTCAGAGACGTTGTCTTGTCTGCATGTTTATTGATTGTTTTAATTATGTCTTTTTTGTCGTGTCCGTTTTTCTGTAAGGCTAGTTTTAAGTGGTTGAGTTCTGTCTGTAGATGTTCTTTGTCAGAGATGGTGAAAGCTCTATGTACAAGTGAGTTGATTGCAGACTGTTTCTGTGATGGGTGATGGTGCGACTCGGCATATAGGTATCTATCTGTGTGTGTTGGTTTTCTGTACACTTGATAGCCTAAGGTACCGTCAGCTTTCTTAGAGACAAGAACATCTAGGAAGGGGAGTTTTCCATTTTCCTCTATGTCTATAGTGAAGTGGATATTTGGATGTTGATTGTTGAGGAAAATAAGGAATTTACAGAATTCGGCTCTGCCGTGTCTCCATATCACGAATGTGTCGTCTACATAACGGAACCAAACTTCAGGTTTCTTAGGTGTTTTCCTGAGGGCCTCTTTTTCAAAATGCTCCATGAAAATGTTGGCAATTACAGGAGAAATAGGAGAGCCCATTGCCGCTCCTGAAGTTTGTTTATAAAATTGGTTATTATAGGAGAAGTAAGTGATTGTTAAGCAGTGCTCACATACATTGGAGAAACCGGGAGAATGGTCAACGTACGGATAAAAGAACACCAACGTGATGTCAGGCTAAAATACGTCACGCAGTCAGCATTATCAGAACACAACATCGAAACGGAACATCAAATACTGTTTGATAAAACGACCACAATAGCCAACATTATATTCATACTTTCCAAGAAAGTATAGAGAAGCCATAGAGATACAGAAACATATCCTAACAATCTAAATAGAGATAATGGCAACAACATAAATAAAATATGGAAAACCATTCTCCCGGTTATTAAAGACTGACCAATTCCCCCTCCCCTCCCCCCTCCCCCACCCATAATTCTCTTCTTTCCCCCCCACTACTCCAACAAGTAGCGTATAAAAAGGAACGGCCCAGAGGAACAGCTCAGTATCAGGCTGCTCTTCGCCCTGATGAAGTGGACTGCAAGGTTCACGAAACGTTGGCATTTCAAGAAT